GGGGTGACTTTGTTCACAACTTTGAAAGGTAGACTTGAACATCATAGGATACAAACCTAACGTCTTTTCTTTCCAATATTACATCTTGCTTGACACGATACTAAGATGAAGACTGCTTGACTGAATGAGTACACAATTGAACATGTGTCTCCATCCTCTGATGTAATAATGGAAATAGCAGTTTTCAACGTCTACATGCCACACAAACCTTTTGGTACCAACCTTGACCGTCCATGAAGTCTTCAGTCCACACAAATATCAAAATGAAAACAAACATAACTAAATTTGAGATAGTACATAGCATTTGATTATTATGCCAATAAGACAATATTTTGAGACCACGTCATCCAGGACTCAAGAACCATGATCCACAATTAGGTTTGACAAGCATCAAAATTTTGATAGAAATGCATCCACCTCATGAAATGATCTCCAAAACTAATTTTAATTTACAAAAGACATAAATTTCTGACACTTTAGCTGATTACAATCTGAAATACAATTTCATTTCAAAGACAAAAAATTGTAGAATATACTGCATGTACAACACAGAAAACAATCTCCATGCACAAACTAACAGCCATACATTAAACATGGTCTACTTGAATGAGGTGGCAGAAAATTGGAAAGTACCTGCAGAGATCCACCATCATCTTTATGCGATTTCAAGAAGATTCTTGATAAAACAGACAATAACTCCTGAGCAGAGGAACTCAATGCAGTCAAATTTTTACCTCCAACAACCTGCGGATTTTTATAATGCTCAATGATTCGCTGCCTGCCAATGCTTATTTCAATGTCAGACATATCTTGTTTATGCTGAATTCTCTTATTCTGCTGAATTAGGATCTGCAAACTGGAGCATATTATTCCACGAACTTCAGTTTCTTCTAGAAGAGCATTGCACAATACTTTCTCTATCTTCTTGAAGCTGTAAGCAGTATCCAATGGGTAGTTGCAAAATGAAGGGAACAATGACCATAAAGAGTATGCAAGTCCATCAGCACTCCTAGCTGAATAAATTTTTCCCTCTCGCTCAAGCTGACACAATAACATGTAACTAATTCATACCATCAGAAAGAATAGAAAAAAAAATATCCCATTAATATCAAAAGGTTCATACCACCGCAGATTTCCGCCTCACAAGCTCAACCATATTCAAAATTGACTCAGCAAAGAAGCTTAAATGAGCACCAACAGTATATTGCTTCAAAATTGGAAAAAGCCAAACGTTGACCTCGGATAGGTCTTCAGCCTCCAAATTGAGAGGCAGAAGGCTCAAAAATGTTTCAGGTCCCATTGCACCGAGAGATGCTCCAACACACTCATGCAGCTGCTAATTAAGAAGCTTAGAAGTGTTAATGGCTGGTAAAATTCTTGAGAAGCAGAAAAATCTGATAAACAGATGCATTCACATCATCTTCCCCAAAAATTCATGCAGAATCAGCTAAAAAACTAGTAGTCAGAAAGCTACAACAAAATTCCAATAGCATTTTAACATTATCTTTGGGCAGAAGTCACAAAGATAGTTGTCATGCCTCAACATAGACATGACGTCTCAACAGGTAAACCACCCAATTTCTAAAACCATGTCATTCCAAATATCCTTAAGGAGCTTAGCTGATCTTTGCCTAGCACTAATGCACACGAACTACCTGTTTTCAATCATTATTCACACGAAAAGATAAATCCCAAAACTCGCCGAAAACTGATACCTTATAGTATGGCCAAGGAAAACAAGGTTCACCTTCAAAAAGTTCCATGACTTCAGTTTTGTTAAAGTTCTGTTCTTTTTCTTTCTGAATTCATGCCCTCATAGTCAGTGACGGAACCATATGTAGGTCTATTGCCCCCCTCACATTTTGAAAAATCCCTATAACACCCTATAGATTTTTAGAAAATTCTATTGCTTCTATCTAGGTTTCCAAAAAGTCCAATGTACAAGTATTTCATTTAGTGTACTCAAAGAACTTAATAACTTAATATCTAGCAACCAAAATGAGGGATGTGATCACATGGATGAGTGCTGCTCTTATCGACGAAGTCACTTGCTTAATGAGTCTGCTAACTAAAGGAAAAAAATAAGTGAAATCGCGTTCTAAATGTGGCTTATATAAAAAATAATGCATCGACTCATAATTCATGTTTATAATATCGTGTGAAATTATTTTTTGCAGAGATAATATCCCCATTGTCATTATGCTATATTATAAGTAAGAAAATAATAGGATTGCGACATTGTCACTCACTAATTTTTATAATGGTACGAAATAATTTTGGGGTCTCATGATCCAGACTAAATTTTACAATGGTATTGAATAAAAGTTAACTTTGGTAGGTTCTATATAACTAAAAACTTGATGTTAGCAATAACTTGTAGAATATCCCCATTGAATAAAATTCTTGTGTATGTTATTGTTTGGCCCTCCTCGAAATAAAATCCTAGTTACGTCCCTGCTCATAGTTTCTTTAGTATGCTATGACGAAAAGGCCAATCAAAGGTAAAATCCGGGACTGAAGGTCAAGAGGACTGTGCAGCAGTATTCATAAGAGAGTAAACTGACTTTCTTCTTCAAATGATATTAACAAATAGTGCATATAATATAATGTGGGTGATGACAAGACTGGGATACAATTGTTCACAGGTCATTGACCAATGCAATGGAATAATGCTAGAGCTAACACCTAAAAGTTTTATGGGCTCGAATCTGACTGAGGGTGACAATTTGTGCAANAAGCCAAACGTTGACCTCGGATAGGTCTTCAGCCTCCAAATTGAGAGGCAGAAGGCTCAAAAATGTTTCAGGTCCCATTGCACCGAGAGATGCTCCAACACACTCATGCAGCTGCTAATTAAGAAGCTTAGAAGTGTTAATGGCTGGTAAAATTCTTGAGAAGCAGAAAAATCTGATAAACAGATGCATTCACATCATCTTCCCCAAAAATTCATGCAGAATCAGCTAAAAAACTAGTAGTCAGAAAGCTACAACAAAATTCCAATAGCATTTTAACATTATCTTTGGGCAGAAGTCACAAAGATAGTTGTCATGCCTCAACATAGACATGACGTCTCAACAGGTAAACCACCCAATTTCTAAAACCATGTCATTCCAAATATCCTTAAGGAGCTTAGCTGATCTTTGCCTAGCACTAATGCACACGAACTACCTGTTTTCAATCATTATTCACACGAAAAGATAAATCCCAAAACTCGCCGAAAACTGATACCTTATAGTATGGCCAAGGAAAACAAGGTTCACCTTCAAAAAGTTCCATGACTTCAGTTTTGTTAAAGTTCTGTTCTTTTTCTTTCTGAATTCATGCCCTCATAGTCAGTGACGGAACCATATGTAGGTCTATTGCCCCCCTCACATTTTGAAAAATCCCTATAACACCCTATAGATTTTTAGAAAATTCTATTGCTTCTATCTAGGTTTCCAAAAAGTCCAATGTACAAGTATTTCATTTAGTGTACTCAAAGAACTTAATAACTTAATATCTAGCAACCAAAATGAGGGATGTGATCACATGGATGAGTGCTGCTCTTATCGACGAAGTCACTTGCTTAATGAGTCTGCTAACTAAAGGAAAAAAATAAGTGAAATCGCGTTCTAAATGTGGCTTATATAAAAAATAATGCATCGACTCATAATTCATGTTTATAATATCGTGTGAAATTATTTTTTGCAGAGATAATATCCCCATTGTCATTATGCTATATTATAAGTAAGAAAATAATAGGATTGCGACATTGTCACTCACTAATTTTTATAATGGTACGAAATAATTTTGGGGTCTCATGATCCAGACTAAATTTTACAATGGTATTGAATAAAAGTTAACTTTGGTAGGTTCTATATAACTAAAAACTTGATGTTAGCAATAACTTGTAGAATATCCCCATTGAATAAAATTCTTGTGTATGTTATTGTTTGGCCCTCCTCGAAATAAAATCCTAGTTACGTCCCTGCTCATAGTTTCTTTAGTATGCTATGACGAAAAGGCCAATCAAAGGTAAAATCCGGGACTGAAGGTCAAGAGGACTGTGCAGCAGTATTCATAAGAGAGTAAACTGACTTTCTTCTTCAAATGATATTAACAAATAGTGCATATAATATAATGTGGGTGATGACAAGACTGGGATACAATTGTTCACAGGTCATTGACCAATGCAATGGAATAATGCTAGAGCTAACACCTAAAAGTTTTATGGGCTCGAATCTGACTGAGGGTGACAATTTGTGCAAATGACGTTAAAGGTTAAGTTTGTACCCAATCTATCCCTCCTAGCATCCTCAATTAATGAGAACCAAACTAGGCAATGATCTTGAGGACCTTTTTACATTAATTGGACAACATTGATTTGAGCAATACACATGCAGTAAAATATGCATATTATGCACTTCTACAGAGGAAACCATTTCCAGTACTAACCATTCAAACTAATCATTTTTGTGTACAAAGAATTTGCTGCATTCAAACCAATCGTTGATAGCTAAACACCCCATAATAAAGTCTAACAATTCTAAACACGACTCGTGAAACCGATATGGATTTAACAAGTTTGGGTGTAGTCTTAAAGGGTTCGAGTGGTTAACGGGTTAACTTGACAAACCGTGAAATAAACAAACCGATTTCGTGTTTTAACCCATAAATTCGTTTCAACCCGTTAACAGTGGTACTTTAATTTTTTTTTTTTAAAAAAGTTAAGTCTCTCAACTTCTGCCTCATCTCACACCTCCCATCTCCCAGACTCATTCAAATTTAGTAGTCATTTAATGCTTATTTTTTGTCTTTATTTTTTTGCTCAGTCATGATTTATTGTAATAATAAACAGGTCAAACATGTGTAATGTGTGACGAGTTAATATTTTTCATGCGGACTCGAAATACTCTAACCTATTCTCTTATTTAGCGGGGTGACATACGGATTGTATCGGGTAACCCGCCTAATAAACGATTTATGTATTGGTATGATAGTTGGACTCGTTTATATAAACGAATAGGGTATAGATAGAGGGTTTTTTCGACACAAACTCATTCCTCCCAACACAACCATTCCACTTGATACGATTGCAAAGCCTAAAAGTCCTCTTTTGAATTATGTAGAGTAATGAAGTTACAGCAGTGACATTGCATAAAGGTGGGAAACCTAAGGATCTCTTCATTTGGATTTAATTGAGAAACCACACTTTTTGCAACTTCAATAACTACACCATTCATCAACATACACTAAGAAACCCTTAAAATAAAGCAAAACTTCATATATAAACTCATCAGTTGATGGGGTTAGTGCAAGGGTCACATAATTGAACAAGTATACCTCTAGAATGATACTTTAATGTCATCAAATCAATTTGTTTGCTTTTCTAACTAAAAAGACTCTGCAAATAACTTTGAAATTTGCGAATAGTGGTGCAAAAAAAAAAGAAAGCGATGAAATTGTGACATATCTTACTCAGAAGTTCAATTTACTCGCACACATGCCCAACCGCATGCGAAGACAGACAATCACATGCAGATTCATGTCAGGGGTAAAAATGCTAGAGCTGATATTAAGAGAGAGAACAAGATTGGCCCTGTTACATGCAAAGGACACACCATGCCAAGAAATGAAATTGTGATCAGATGCTTTTGCATCTGATGCACATGAACTCCATAGAATACTAACTCCGATGGACAACTAGCAAATCCAATGTGACCTCTATTAGAGGGCCAGGCAGACCCATGGCCATCCAGAAGCCAAAAGTGTTGGTGCTAAATGAGAATTCAGGCAGGATAATATGCCCAAGAATAGTCCATATAGAGTGCAAAAGAGTCGGTCAACAAAGCCAATTGGCATCCAAGCTGTATGCAAGCCTACTAAAAAGGGTAAAAAGTCCATTGTAGTACAGCTTGGCAGCTGAATGATTTATAGGCACGGGTCTGCACCAATGTGTATCGGAGAAAGAAGGGGATATCAGAAGGAGGACAGATTGACGTTCTCAAACAACAGATGGTTAATCGTACAAAAAATAAGACAAATGCACAAATACCAAATCTGAATAGGCATGCAGCAAATGCGTACAGGGGCATAAGAATATAAAATCAGGGTATATGCAGGAATATGTTCTTTGGTATTACAAGACTACCTGTTTCCTGTAGGGGAAGTCTTCATCTGGCAACTTTTGCAGGTCAGCCAAGCTCCCAAGGGTTCCCCTTAAAAGGTAAGAGGATTTTTCACCTGAAAGATGTATTAGTCCTCTGTTTTATGAAGATCTATCAATTCAACAGTTCCACTTCAAAAGTAAGAATAATATTATTAGCATGCACAAAGGTGATGATAAAAATAAACCTTTTCTAAGAATTCATGTATATTTCACGTGTCTTAATCTTCTCTTTTGCAAAAGTATGAAACACTAAGTTTTAAGAGAGAGGGAAGGAAAGAGAGAGGAAGGACTACCTAATTTCTCACACATGATTGCAACAATTTGAAACGACATGTCCCAGACAGCAGCATAGCGATAATCAAGTAAACTCTCAATAGTTGCACACACTTTCTCAATGACTGTTGGCAAAGATGTCCTCGTGTCCACATTTGCATTTGCTGTAATCTGATCCACACCCTGATCGATCAAGCCCTTGTCAATGCACACATTTATTAAGCTCCTGAATGCTTCCATGGATGCAACTACTGCCTCCTCATGTTCAGAAGCCAAAATGTCTGCAAAAAACCCATCGTAGGAAACATAATACTAACTTCAGCTGTAACTACTGTCACTGAAATTTAAATGACAGGAATTTGGCAGTAGGTTTTCAAGACTCCAATTAAAAATGTTAAAAGGTATGAGTAAATGTATTTGTGAGGGGGAAAGTAAAATTTGAAAAAACAAACAATACAAATATAGGTAACCTCTGAGTGCATTGAACACAACAGGGAGCTTGACCACACAAATTTGCCGATTAAGAGAATAAATTTTTTTCATTCCAACATCTAGCAAGCGAGCTGTGAATGTCAGGCTATCAGCGGATGTCTCATTAGTGGAGATGGAAGCAGCTAGTGAGCATAACAAACCAAGTAGCACTTCAGATGAAAACTCCGCATTTGGGCTGCGGCAAAGTATTATTAAACTATCTGTAATGCGCCGGGTAACCAGGGGCTGTCGAAGTTCTAAAAGAGATTTGTAATACTTCAGAATGTTGGTCGAGGACTTCATAGACATTAGAGGGAGACATTCTTTTAGAGCATCCAAAACATATAGGACTTCCTGTGCTCCTTTAGGTCCTTCTGAAGAATTTGCATTTGATCCTCCAGCAAGCAGAAGAAACCTTTCAAAGATGCTTGTGATGGCTTCACTTGCAGCTGCCAGCACAGGTGTGGGTGCCATCACCGACTCCAACAGGTCGGGTACTGCCTGAAAATTAAGCAGGCCATCACGGAGACACATATGCGATTGCCTTCTTACCTGATCAACATCAAACTGAATTTTCAGCAGCATTCATTCAGAAAAAACTATCGAATTTAATGCCTGGCAAGCTGTCATCTCAAGAAAAACAAAGACAACTATCCATCGACCACCACCGACACATATGAAGAAACAATCTGAAATACCTACAAAATTGCAATCCCTTTCTATGGAGAAAATAAGACATGTAGACTGAATTAAAAATTGATGGAATCCTTGGGCTTAAACTTTTTGGATTTGTGCATACAGTTAATCCAGTAAGTAAGGGGGGCCTGAAAACCAAAAGGAAATGTAGCAGTCATTGAACAGAAATGCAGAGACTCAAAATTCAAAACAGAAGAGTCCATACTGCCACTGATTACTGTCCATCGGGACAAAACTGGTCTGCTTTGTTCTCCTTATTCTTTATCTCTTTTCTTTTCAGTTCATTTTTTTTTTTCTGTTGGGGGGGTTGGGGGTGGTGAATAAAACTCATCTACCCGTTTTCTTTTCTTCTTTTTTGTTTTTGGGGAGTCGAGCTAATCTGCCTCTTCGAACCACACATACACATTTATGAATAGATAGTTCATATGTAAATCAAGGTTTACTCATGGAAAAGCGACAATGATAAAAGGTGTCTAACACTCGAATAACATTTGAAGAGTTGAAAAAACAAAACAATTCCAGCTCTCAATGAAACATCCAATTTGCATACATAAGAACTAAAGCTCAATATTTATGGATTCCAACACTCCATAAAACATAAGATGATCAATAATCATAGCCTTATGAGATTAAATTCAAAAAAGGTTTAAAGAAAATTTTGGCTCAAAAATGTCACCTTAGGTCGGTCGTCAGTTATATAACTAAGCAGAACACCATAGAGATGAGACAAATCGGCCCAATTTCCCTTATCATGAGCAATTAATAACTGCTTTATGCATTTCAGCCCCGACGCAACACCAAGCGGGGTTATCGATTTCGAACGAAGAACTTTAACAATTAAATCACATAAATAGTCATATTTCTTCTTCAAAATGGAAGGGGAGACACGATCGACGACCAAGGAGAGGATGGTGGTGAGAGCATCGATGATGTGGGTTGGCGGGTCGGGTTCGAGAGAGAGGCGTTCGAGAGAGGAACAGGTGGCGCCGAAGTAGGCGGTGGGAACAAGAGGGAGAGATTGGTCTTTGAGTTCCTGTGACATGGTGCCGATGATTGTGCAGATGTGGTGGTGGTGCTCCTGCTTAGAGTTGCTGAACTGAGACATGACTGAGTCGCAGAAGGAGTCGTCCGGCCCTTGCATCTCGAGGCCTTCCATGGTGACGGAGATACTCTGGCCTGCGATCAGAGCTAGGGTTTTAGTTTTTCCCTAGGGGTTTGAGGAAGGTCAGAAAATAGCTAGCGTTGGCATAGCCATTGGTTTTGTGTCACGTGGTATGTTTGATTATCGTATCATTTTCTTAGGGTTAATTACGAAGATATATTTATATTTATATTACTTATAAATAACATCCACATCTATGAAAAATTTTTGATCTCTAATTATTATATCAAAGTCAATTTTACGTACCTATATATTTGCATCTAATTTTTATTTTTATACATATTTAACTTTTAACTTATTTTGTACTATTTTATAAGAACTTCTAAATTATTTTTAAGTCATTTATTAGTAATACAGTTACAAACAAATATTTATATCTATATGAAAAAATAAAGTTTTGTATATATTAAATTTTTATACACATAGAGTTATCAAGTTGAATTCTATGTTTAAATATAAGTTTTTTTTTTGTGATATATAATAAAATAATAATATTATAAATGATCTAATCAACCTATTTAACAAAAGTAAAAATTAATAATTCTATAATATATTAATTAGATGTGCAAATATTGAAAGAAGTCAAAGAGATGCTTAAATAAATAATAGATTAGTTACTTAAAAATTTATAGAATAAATTAATAATTAAATTTACTAATAATTAAAATATGAATTAATTATTTGAGACATAATTTAATTTAATTACACATAAAATTCACATTTTTTATAAAATAATATTATTTAAATTTATTTACGTTCAACACACGCCTTGCATTACTAATAATAAATAAAAGAATAATGAAACTAAATCGTTATTTATGTATAAATATCGATTCATTATTTTACTGTCACGCCCACGCCTAATTCCAAAGACTTCTGTTAATTCCTAAAAATATCAAAGAATTATAAGACTTTAAATACTAGTAAAAAACTTAAAAGAACTAAGAAACTAAAATTCTAAATAAATTACCTTTAGAAAAAATTCTAAATAAATTAGGAACTAAAATACTAATTGAATTAAAAAATAAAATAATTTCTTAACTAACTAAATTAAGAAATAAAATAGAATTTTTCAAATTGAATGACATTAGCCACGTCCAAATAAAATATTATTTTTTTTCACATATACTGCATCATTCTTCACAAGTTAAAAAGAATTCGTACCTGAATTGATTTTAAAATTTGAGTATTCACTTAAATTTAGGCTTACGATAAGTCCAACAAATATAGGTTCAACACTTTAATCTTTGTTTGAATTTAGGACTCCAACCAATCCAAAATATTAGCACTTTCTTTCTCAAAACCCAAAAATTAGCTTCAACCACATCAAATAATTTGAGTGCACTTTTATCTCCAGGAAAAGAGTACAAAGAGGCACCCATTTGGCAAAAATGTTGAGGAGCAACGAGTGGGAACAATGTGTAAAAACCCTCCACTGTGATACTGTCTTCAACTTGTGCCATGAATAGATGAGAGAGCAAAAGCTTTAATGGGTAGCCTTGAACCATACCAAGCCAACAATGATCACGAAGAAAACTCATTCGAATGATGTAAAATAAACAATAAATATTTTAGTATTTTATTTGAATGCGATCAATGTCGTTTAATTAAAAAAATTTAAGAGAGTTTTATTTTATTTCTTAATTTGATTAAAAATTATTTTAATTTAATCTTCTAGTTAATTCATTTTATTCGATTTCCTAATTTAATTATAATTTTAGTTTCCTAGTTATTTTTAGGACTTTTGTTATTATATAAAGGCAGGTAAGACTTGGGGCAAAATAATTTTGATGAATTAATAATATTGAATAAGTTTTTTTTTTCTCAATTCTTCTGGTATTCATAGGAATTAATAGATCTATTGAAGCCTTTAGAACTGATATTCTATGTGAATAGAGTATGATTCTGAATTTGATATTTATGCACAAATCAACCGTTTATTTTTATTATCTCATTTTGTTTATTATACCCTTATTTCTATCAGTTTTCCTTCATTAGTTGTTATAAGAGTTCAATTACGTTCTTGCTAATATTTTTAGTTCTTGACATAAATTTTGAAAAATTATTTTTTGAAAACAAATCATCTTCTATTCAATGAGAAGTTGATTAAAATTTAAATAAAATGTATTAAATAGAAGAGACATTTTATCTTTAGCCAATATTGTAAAACTTTATTTGATCAAAGAGATCAATCAAACCTTAATTCCAAGATCTAGAGCAATCATGATTTTCACATACTCATAATAATCATAATGTAGAATTAA